GGTGGGAAAATGGCCGCGGACTACGTGTCAGGGGCAGGAAAATGGCCGCGGACCACGTGTCAGGGGCAGAAAAATGGCCGCGGACCACGTGTCAAGGTGGAAAAATGACCGTACCCCAAGGCGGAGTTCGCACATCGAGGTAAATTTTTGCAGCCGGAGCTGGTCCTAACCCGAAACGTTCGTTAGTAGAGGCGTTCGTATCCCGAGGTACCACTGTATTAACTAAAACAAGCACCCAAGTTACAGTATATCTCATGTACATCTTTTGCCATAGCATTAAATTCCATCTTCTAGACTGTTCTTCCCCACCCCAGCCCTGTACACATGACATTACACTGCACGTGTCTAGTTGCTGATAACTTGCCTTTAAAGCTATGCCTCAAAATGACAATTATTTCCAACTGTAGCAGTATCAGAAATCAAAACTGAATAGGAAGTGATGCTTCCAAACATGAGACTTGGCATCACTTGCCCAGTTTGATATATCTATCTACCCAGATGCTGATCATCCAGTTTTGCCCAAGACAGCACTTTCCAGAAACTTCAGTTAGTGAACATTCACTAGTTCTTGAAAAGACAGCATTCCTGCTGCAAAACAATCCCTGAACGTTTAACTCATTTCAACAGAGCCCTATTCAATAGGAAAAAAGTGAAGCACGGATCCTGTTAAATGCTAACTTTGCTTATATTTATCATTCTACGATTATATGAATAATTGCTGAAAATGGCACAGTCAACTGGAATAAATAATTTCACAAAAAACTTCATGGGTGGGTGAGAATTTGAACTCTTCTCTCCATTCCTAATCCTAAACTCTTACCTGGGTAATTATTTGTGAAGAAAGGCAGACCACTTGCTGAGATCATAAATCTTAGGAAACACCTTTGGTTTCACACATTCACCCCCTATGATCGCTTACTTAAGAGAATGTATTCTACTGAAAGTCTCACTGAAACCACTGAGGCTTACTTCTGAATAAATATTCAATAGAATTATATCCCGCCTTTCCTCCAGTTGCTCGGGGCAATACACACAGCCCTCCCTTCTACTTTTCTCACAACAGCTCTGTGGGGTAGCTTTGGCTGAGAGACAGTGATACGTCTGAGGTCAGAGAGCTCACATGGCCCAGGACAGACACGCATGTGGATTTCGCAAGTCCAGCCCTTACTTCAGGTTCTGCATCATAGTTCTCTATATAGCAATAAACTTGCTCTGTAGATCACTTAAAGTCTCAATATGCATTATAAGCATGTGTTAGGACACATTCAACACTCTGAAAACAGTTCTTACCTTCTTTGGAAACAGAATGTTCTTCCACAAGTGGCGGAGCCTATGGAAAGAAAGGAATTATTTTGTAGAATGCATGGTGCTGTACAAAATACAAAAAGAGAGGTGGTACTAATAACATTTGATATAGCTTGCAATCTAAAAAAGTCTGCAGACTAAAATTTGATACAGCAAAGAGAAGAAAGGCAGGCAGGTAAAAATACAGGAAGAATACTACAATCAATTCACTTATATGAACTTGGCCTTAACTACAGAGGCTTCTGTGAAAGGTTTCGCAAAGCCTGATTTGAGGATGGATCTGAAAAATGGCATCATAAAAGTGATCCAGGGAGAGGGAGCTCCCTGCATCTGACACAGCAATGCAGAAAAGGCAATCTTTTGAGGAATCTGTAGAGATCTCTACATAGTTGAAGGTGGGGAAGCTAGACAAATTCATAGACATAATTTCCCAGTATACATAGCAGGGAGCTACTTCTAACTAGCGCAGGTCCTTCTGGGATTTAAATTCACTTTTTGTTGAAACAAAGAAGTCTTCAAATAGCAGTCTTTGAATGATACGAGCATCTGCTCCCTTTGAAGCTTCATCCCCCTTTCAAAAGTATTACAGCTTAACAGAAGTAGTATAAAAGCCGATCGAGGCAGTCAAACAAACAAACAAACAAACAAACAAACACACACCCGTTGTATTTTGGAACCTGGATGTGTGGTTTGCAGTTTCTAGCACTGGATGGGCTCCTAAAGTTGAATAGTATCAATCCTGCAAAAAGTTAGAAAATTGGCCCTGAAAAAAAAATGAGCTTAAGCCATTTCAGAAAGCATCTCTGAGCTTGATTATACTCTCTCTTGTGAAAAAGGTGAATGGGAGACAGGTCATCAAGAACTATTTTTTTTAAAAAAAGCACAGGTTGCATTTGCTCTAGTTGCACAGCTGAAATGACTGAGTGTATCAAATAGATGCTTTACTTAATTAATAGTTAAAAGGCAGGTTTTCTAAACAGCTGGGAACGTTTCTGAAAAATACTTAACCTCACTGATGCAACCCTTGCAGGAAGCAAAGCAACTTATAAACAGATCACCCTTTGAAGCTTTGGTAATACATGTGTGGGAATGTTTTAGGATATAAGCAAGCATTTATATTTTTAGTTCTTGTTTTACTTTTAAATATAACAATGAATCTAACATTGTTGAGCACTAATTGATAAAAGGGGGGGGGGAACATGTTTTACATTGCACAGAAAAGATTGTTAATGGGTACTGCATTCCTATCTGCTTCCTTCTCTTCCACACCTACCTTAACCTGCAAGATCATGAGAAACCTGTAGCTGCTATTTAATTTCTAAGCCAGCATTTTGGATTGTAACAGCATTAACTCTTAATTTCCTGTGCTTCCTTTCAGTGACCAACATTGAAAAGGGGGCTGGAGTGAGAAAAAATGTATAAATTCCCTTACAGATTGCACAATAGCTTGGATGTCTTCTTCACTGCAGCAATATGGGCTGGTACCCACCAGAAGGTTGGTGCTGAAAAGAGAATGCAATTATTAAGAATTGAGGAAAGGGGAAAATAACTGTTATTCACAGCACAAATAAGGAAAGGACAAAATAAGCTGGCTCTGGTTCCATTCTACATGCAAAGAACAGTAAAAGCTCTCCAGGGTTTGAGATATTTTCTCCCATCTAACATGGAAAGGTTATGGATTGTACTGGATGACCTCTGCACATGTATTTGTAGTCTACACAATCTCTCATCAAAAGCCAAGCAGAAGATCAAACAGAACTTGATGTTCGAGTGAGAAATCACATACAGTGGGGCAAAAAAGTATTTAGTCAGCCACCAATTGTGCAAGTTCTCCCACTTAAAAAGATGAGAGAAGCCTGCAATTTTCATAATAGGGCTCAACTATGAGAGACAAAATGGGGGGAAAAATCCAGAAAATCACATTGTCTGATTTTTAAAGAATTTATTTGCAAATCATGGTGGAAAATAAGTATTTGGTCAATATCAAAATTTGAGTCCCTGGCGGCGTAGTGTGTTACTGATGGTAGCCTTTGTTACTTTGGTCCCAGCTCTCTGCAGGTCATTCACTAGGTCCCCCCGTGTGGTTCTGGGATTTTTGCTCACCGTTCTTGTGATCATTTTGACCCCACGGGGTGAGATCTTGCGTGGAGCATTTGAGTCCCTGGCGGCGTAGTGTGTTACTGATGGTAGCCTTTGTTACTTTGGTCCCAGCTCTCTGCAGGTCATTCACTAGGTCCCCCCGTGTGGTTCTGGGATTTTTGCTCACCGTTCTTGTGATCATTTTGACCCCACGGGGTGAGATCTTGCGTGGAGCATTTGAGTCCCTGGCGGCGTAGTGTGTTACTGATGGTAGCCTTTGTTACTTTGGTCCCAGCTCTCTGCAGGTCATTCACTAGGTCCCCCCGTGTGGTTCTGGGATTTTTGCTCACCGTTCTTGTGATCATTTTGACCCCACGGGGTGAGATCTTGCGTGGAGCATTTGAGTCCCTGGCGGCGTAGTGTGTTACTGATGGTAGCCTTTGTTACTTTGGTCCCAGCTCTCTGCAGGTCATTCACTAGGTCCCCCCGTGTGGTTCTGGGATTTTTGCTCACCGTTCTTGTGATCATTTTGACCCCACGGGGTGAGATCTTGCGTGGAGCATTTGAGTCCCTGGCGGCGTAGTGTGTTACTGATGGTAGCCTTTGTTACTTTGGTCCCAGCTCTCTGCAGGTCATTCACTAGGTCCCCCCGTGTGGTTCTGGGATTTTTGCTCACCGTTCTTGTGATCATTTTGACCCCACGGGGTGAGATCTTGCGTGGAGCAATAAATTCTTTAAAAATCAGACAATGTGATTTTCTGGATTTTTCCCCCCATTTTGTCTCTCATAGTTGAGGTATACCTATGATGAAAATTACAGGCCTCTCTCATCTTTTTAAGTGGGAGAACGTGCACAATTGGTGGCTGACTAAATACTTTTTTGCCCCACTGTATTCTTTGTCACCTCCTAGTGCTACATTAGAAGCCTGACAGCTGCAAGGTGCACAGCCTGAACTCTTCTTTTCTTCATCAAGCCCCCATCTTCCCACTGCTACCACCAACAATGTCATAACACAATATATCCTGCTGCTGCCCCCAATCTTCCCGCTGGCCTTCCCAGTTTCCAATCATACCAGCACCTTCCCATAAACTTCAGTTAAACCTTGATTTTAATGAACTTTGTCCATTATTCTGGAGGGATCCTTAGACTCATAATTTGTCTGTTACATCCAAACATCATTACACGGAGTTCCAAATGGAGGTTTTACTGTAAGACTGATTTCAACCAGACTTATTGCCAGGTAAGTGTGTAAACAGCAGTTTAACAATGCAATCCTATACATGTTACCTTCAATAATCAAAAACTTGAACTAAGCTTCTCTGAATGAACACCATGCTGAGATCTGGCCTCCAATTATTGGAAAGTTTTCAAATCAAGGATAACACTTCTTAGTTAACCTAATAGGTGTGAGGTCTCTCCTTCCCTCTCTTCTCCCCCCACCCCCATTACACAGATCTTCACAGCCTCCCTGGCTACTTGTACCTCCTAAGCTGAAAAGGTTTAGCCCTAAGGCCTTCTTCTTGACATTTTAGTTAAGTATGGGCATATACTATGAGAGGATTGTACAATAAGAACAAGCCATTCCCAAATACCTTGGTTACGAGGCAGCTGACAGGTAAAAATGCAAATGTTTCCCTGCTATGCCTTCCTCCCTTGGAAACATATGTGGAACAGGGCTGTTCCCTTTACTGTTACCTTTTTCAAGTGATCTGAGTAACATCCATGATTTCTTACTACACCATCTAGAATGAAGAAAGCTAACAAAACCAAGACGCTTTCTAGAAAATTTAAGGTTATCTTGAATTTCTGTGAGAAAACTATAATCAAATAATGACAGCCCAATACATTTGGAAATGGCTTAATTACTGAGTAATCTGCAGGGCTTGTGCAGAGGGGACCAAAAAAAAAGTAATCCCCCAAAGGTGGCATTTCTTTATGATTAATGACGCAACTGTCATTATAAAAGCCACCCAGTTCAATTTAGTAATACAGATAGTCCTCATTTAACAACCACTAGTTCAGTGACCATCTGAAGTTACGATTGCACTGAATGAGACTTACAACTGGTCCTCATAGTTGCAGCTGTCGCAGCCTCCCTGCGGTCACGTGATCATGATTTGCGACTTTCACTGCTGGCTTCTGACAAACAAAGTCTGGGTTGCAAATGGTGATCACGTGGCATCACACCTAATGACTGTGTGGGATTCACTTAACAACGGCAACCAGAACTGCCACAACTGCTGTCGTAAGTTGGCGTGGTCATGTAACGTCACGCTTTATGACCACGTCACTTAGTGATGGAGTTCTCAATTACTGTCATTAAGCAAGAACTACCTGTAATTCAAATTGGATTTTGACCAAACAATGATAGATACATACCATTTTATGGCTCCTCCATCAGCCTTTTTGTGAACCAAAGCTTTCCAGCATTCATGGGTAGATTTAATTATTTCAAGAGCAAATGCCTATTTAAAACAACATTGAGAGGAGAAGAGGAGAAAAAAAGATGTCTTGAAAAGAGCACTTGCTAGGTATTGTGACTGCCAAAAATGTAAAAAGATAACTTCAGGAACACTCAAGATAAAGATTGTGTGTCCAAAGAGAACTTTGAAGCCTTTTTTTTTTCTTTTTTTAATGTTAATACCTACTTCCCCTCCAAACCTCAAGGCTTTCAGACATCAACAGCTGGCATCCCCCACCCACACTAGATACAAAGAAATGGGGAGACAGAATTTCAATAATGACAATGTGTATTTCATAACAGAACATAGTAAGATGGGCTCATGTAAATCAGTGGGGACTACACCTTATCTGGAGAAAAAGTAACCCTGTTTACTTTTTCTCCAGATTTGGGTTTACTACCAATCCAGATCTGGAAAAACTGCTTTTGGGAAACTGCTGAAACACAAACTCATGAATTCTGTTCTTGCTTTGGCTCTGTTTGAAGCAAGATTGTTCAGCATATGCTGAAGTTAAAAATGTCAGCTCTTTTGGCAATAATCCTCCCCAAATCTTGGAAAGCATCTAAGTAAGGTCACAAAAGAGCCAGGAGAACATAGCTGGAGCCAGAAAGGGGGTTTTTCCCCCCCAAAGGATTCAGGACAAGGGATAGTTGAAGCAGTCAAGAGCACTCTTTTCCTAAAGGACAAACTTTCAAAAAAAGCCATAGAGGACATCTTCATTAGGAACCACAGTTTCCCCTACCCTCAAACTTCCTTGTATTGAAATTGCACTGTAAAATGAACATCACCAGGCTTTCCTTGGGCAGTCTTAGAAAATTACTGCCACTGGGGGAGGGATGCGATTCCCCATTATTTCCTGCGATTCCCTTTGTAAGTCAGAAACTAAAACTCTACCTCCCAACCAGCCAATATGTGAAGATGTCTCTTCATGAGTTGATTTTGGCCTTTAAAAAAAAAAAATTAGGGTCTTTTAAGAAAAGAATGTAAGGGTTCAACTTCTGAAGACCTTGTATTCTGATTTTTTTTTTTAAAGTAAAAAATAGTACTGCTGAAATTGGATCTTTTTGTCACTGAATATTCCCAATGAGATCTCAGATGCTACAAAGACTGCATGCAGATTACAAGTTGCCCATCCCTGTTGTAAATAAAGTTGAAGATCCATTACAGAAGACTAGGTTCATATTTGATAGGGCTATCAGAGCTGCAGTCCAAAAAAATCTAGATGATGAATACATGTGGTATGCTGCTTTTGACAAATACTTTCATGAAATTTTGAACTGAAGGAAAATAAAATATGCAATTATGAAATGTCTTGCAATATTGGCTTCCTTATAGATCCTTGATTGGGCTGCTCTAGGATTTTACAGAGTATTCATTCAGAAAATACACTGTTCAGAAAGTAAGTTTATCAATTTTAAGTAACCAATCCCTCACCTTATCTTGAAACGTGCCATTAAAAGCAAACTGATTTTCTGGCTTTCCATCTGGGACTTTATATAGTCTGAACCAGTCAACTGTAGCTTCAAGGTAACCTGGGAAGAACTTCCTGACATCGTCAATATCTGCAATAGGTTAGGAAAAACGTGCATAAAAATCAGTGTTAAATATCAACTTCTGCCAAATCCACCATTCTAAATATACATGTAAGAGATTCCAATATGGCAATAAATCACAAATATTTCAATGACTGAGTGCATGAAAACCCAAGTGAATGGGTTACCGATTAATCCTCTGCTTACCCAGAGTTTTACATACAGAAATACCATGCAAACATTTTGTATATAATTCAGCAATTGTTGAATGCATTTAGCTTACACTGGATTATAAAAACAATCACACAGACTCTTATACAAACTAAAGATAGATTGGATGAAGCAGGCTGGAAAATTTGATTGCCTGGCTACTGATTAAGTGCCTTGTAATGCAAATACTTTCTTACAAAAATTAGTTTTCTTAAAAAAGCATTGGGAGACACAACCATTTATTTTTGTCTCACTGGTAAGGGATTTGAGCAGCACCAGAAGAGCTAATACTGTTCCAGCATCTAAAATAATCTATTCTTGCAACAAGAAGACAACAAGCAGATTCTTGCATTCTGTTTGGCCATCGTCTATGGAATGGTCGGAGCTAACCATGGTCTGTTGCATAATCAAAGTGCATTAAGCACTAAATCACAATGGTTCATATAACACACTGAGCCTAAGTACACTTTAGCATGTTAATCCAGTTAATGTCACTGATTTAGGACAGAAAAGCATCTCTCCAACCAAAGGAATCAATACAAATCTGCACTATGTACTCTTTATAATGCAAGAAATCACTCGCAATCCCCAGAGCTCTACTGTATGCACACACTGAAAGCTTTGGTTGCTTTCAAGCTCCCAAGAACCTCTGCAAAAGTTGCCATCAAGCCAATTACAGATATGACAGGAATTATTGAAGTCTTTGAGTAGTCATTATTTCAAATCAAAATTAGGGTTTGCCCTCATCATACCCACTTATTCTACTTTTTGGCGTACAGGCCTAGCATTTACCTAAAGGCCATGTGCAGCCCTCAACCCTCCCAAAGGGTGTCTCTGCCCTATAGGGAAATAGGGTCACTAAAAGTTGATTTTTCAAACTAAAATAAGCTTTTTTTAAAAAAAAAAAGTAAAATGTCAAATGGAGCTGCAGGTATGGTGAACAGCACAGGGAAGGGATGTCCACGGGCCCTACGCACCTTGTTGCAAACTCTAAGAGGACATTAGAAAGGCCTTCTGTAGATATCTTGCAGAGTTGTAATTTGTCCAAATACACAATGCATAGTTAATTGGGCCAATAATATGAACTGCTACAAGGCAGCTTTCTGGGTTTGCGTTCAGTGCATGAAGCAGTCTGGAATCCTGGGGATCATTTCCCAGTTCCTCTAAACCAGTGTTGTCCAAACTTGGCCACTTTAAGATGAGTGGACTTCAACTCCCAGAATT